CGTTCTTCTTCAACATTATTAGCACAGATATTTAATAAATATCTTATTAACATTGATAAATCGTAACTTTATATTTTGATTATCTCTGTGTTCGAATACTTTATACATGAGGTGCCAATTATTGTTAGTTTATTATTATTATTGTTATGTATTGCGCCATAAAATAAATCCTATCCTATTAATCTTAATTAATATCGGATATTATATCATATATGTATATTTCCAATATGCGATATACAATGTTCCACTTTCTATTACATTTATTTTGTGTTGACAATTTTTATTGGGAAAAATGTCAGGGGAAATTATTTTAAAGCAAATTTATGTTTAAAAAATATAATTTTCTTTCATCAGATTTAGTTCATGAGAAATCTCTTATTCTTAATAGCTATAATCATTTTACCATAATAATATAGATTTTTTTCTTGAAAAACTTTGTAGGAAAAAAATTAATTTCAGATTAGCAAAAGGATTTTCAAAAAATGAAATGGTATAAAAACGACGTTCTGTGTGTCTATTATTTCTTTTCAATCTACTCGTAATTAGAATGTGTTACAGTAAATTAATTAAGAGTTCATTTCGGAGTAATTAATGTTCGTCTAGCGAAGAAATTCACGATTCTATCTGGCGCATAAAACGGGGGAGTTATCATATTATGAGAATATCCGAATAAATGCTGCAGAACGAAAACGACCGTAGCTCTGCGATTGCGAATTATGTATATAGTTTCTCGAGTTTTATAGTCTCTTGGAATTATGAAGTTGCATTGTGAAAGTGACGGCAATAAATCAGGCTCAAGATTAAATTGTAGGAAATATGATTTGTTGCTGACGTAAAATAGGGGAAACACGAAAGGGAAATTCCAGTAGTTTACGTCTGAATTTATGTCGACGTATGTGCTTTTTCCATGATAATGCGCATTAATTATTTATGTATTCATAAATTTTTGTTTGCCCTAAAGGCAACGTCGCGGAAGAGAATCAGAATTCTAAAAATAATTTAAGTATTAATAATTTATAAATAACTATCTTTTTTCTTTATCGATATGCCAATATTTAATATTACTTTAGAAAATTATTTTTTCTTTAGAGTTATGTAAAATGATAATAAAAAAGTATTCTAAGGAGTATCGTATCGGATTTAAAAATTAATATAGCCAATTAGTGAAAACCGAAGGAAAAAACGAAGAAACATTTTTGCTAAAACGATGAAATATTTAATTACTTAGAACACAATAATTATAATTTACGGTACAATGCATTGGCTACTAATTTATTTTCACGCAAAACGGGATTGAGCGTTAATGACAATGGATGTTATATGTTCTGTGCAAGGTGTATAAACAGTGTAATTCGGCAATTCCATGACAACCACACGATTAGTAAAGTCTCGTCCACCATCGGTTGCGATAATTGTCATTTCATTTCGCGGACAATTATTGGCGTATCTTCGGTGCGGACACGTCAGCCGCACTCACGTGTGCAATCCCCAGACAAATTTTGTAATTTCATCGCGCGCGCGCGCACATCACACGGGCCATCGAGACCACTCTATGAAATGCAATCCGTGTTTCCGTCTGCATCCTGCGGGACAGGCTCTCACGACACGAGACAGTTCACGCGTGGAAACAGGACAAATTGGCTGGCGCGTACATTAGACGATAAATCACCATATTTCATTTTATTTTTATCCTCTTTCCCACCGGGAAAATCTGTGAACCGTGTGCCCGCATTTCCGGCTGTCGCCTCGCCTTCTCGTTTGCTTCGCTAACAACAAGTCTGTATGCATATTACACAATGACCCACGGCGATTTGCTTAACGATCTATCCCTTCACCTGTTTACGAGATGATCGATTTTATAATGCCTTTGAATAAATCATCGATTGTTATTGACAACGTTATTAATTACTACTGGCATGTTTGTTCACTTGTACGCGAAATCTAACTAGACATTGGTATTCAATTTAATAGGGTTTCAATAACTGCATTAAAATTGATTATAAATTAATAAATGGCACATTTAGTAGAATGTTTCTGAATGAGTTGCATTATTAGTACCTCTTGAAATACTGAAGTTACAGTAATTTTAAATTAATTAATCATTATAATATTAAATATTAAAAAAAAAACCTTCTTTAGAAAAAATACTAATATATTTTATCCAGTTACTAATTTTTATAAATCGAATTTTTATGCGTTCTGATGAATTTGCGGCGATGTTGAGTCGCGAAGCCGTAAAAAAAACTACTCCCGGGATAAATCAGGGGAAAGATCAGCGTTACGCTCGTCGTTCTCATAACGCGACACCGAGATGCCTCCTTTTATCCGCGGTCGCGCACGCGCCAAGGCATCGTAACTATTCCGCACGTTGTAACTACGGTCGAGTGTCTCCGAGATAAATTCCAAGGAAATTGTTCCGCCTAGAGAAAGACGAATAGTTCTGTTTGTCCACGAATTTCGAGCCGTTCTCCTCACCCCGCGTGTCCGTTTCTCTCGCCCGTTTGTGGGTCAGAATCTCGCTTCAACATCGGCCGTAAGATGTAACGCGATGCGGCATCGCGTCGGATTGCGTCGCGTCGCAGTTCGGCGTGGCCCCGGACAGCCCCTTGACCCTTATTTGTAGCCCGGAATCCCAAAACAACTCAAGCATCCTCTTGCGCCGCAGAGCTGCCGGTAGATATTCACTTCGAAAGTTTTCGCGTAATTGCGCGGAGAACCGTCCACACAGATGCGGGTGGATGCTTGAAAACGAAATTTGATGGAAATATCATGGAAAGACGCCGCGACTCGTCAGAGTTGCCGGCGAATACCCCCGCTTCGCGCGCGAATCAAAAGCTCCGCGCAAATTGTCCGCGTTATTTCGTAACTAGATGTTTGCATATTTTGCAACGTCTCTATTTGCCTCGCTCTCTGTGTTAACGAAAGTTGCCCCGGCACGAAATATTACCATAAGAAAGATCGGCGAAATTCTCTTTTTCTCTTTTAATACAAGTCTTCATAAATTTTCCATGGCAAACTGCAAATCACAATGAATTATTTAATTGTCTGTAAAGGAAGAGTTCGATAAAATCGGTCTTGTTCAATTAAAACATTTAAAGATTTGAAG